GCTGCCACCCGAGGGGGATCCCGCCGCGCCCTCCCGGCAGCGCCAGCCGCCTCAGGATTTACTGCTTCGCAAGACTTTGCTCCCCTTTCCGACGGTAACCGGGGCCTTGTTTTTGTGCTGGAGGCTTTTTTTTTTTTTTTTTTTTTTTTTCCAAAACTTCCCTTCTCCCTTCCCTTTCTTGGGTATTCAAGAAGAGTTTTGGAGTTGTGCTTTTCTTTTTCCCCACCCTTACCCTTGGACTGAATTTGTCGCTTCTGGAGCAAGGCTGGATCCTCCCGTGCAGGCTGCAAAGCCCTACTAATATTCCAGCGATAATAGTAAAATGCAGATTGGATAATACGACTTCTTGCCAAGGGCTCCAATGAGTGGCACACAGACCACAATCACGGACAGGTCAGTACGAAGTGGCTTTATGAAGCCTGGGCGCCGCTCGGGGCTCGTGCGCTTTGCCCTGTGGTTTCAGGGACGGTGTCAAAGATCTCGMGTCGGAGGAGATGGGGAACACGCCATCTGGGGGACAGGGACCCGCCGGCGTGGCTGTCAAGGTGCTGGGGCCGCCTTTGAAACTGACGTGTTTCCAGTCAGGCTGTTTTTGAGCCTTGCAGTTCCTTGAAGGAACCTGAGACTGTCCAATTCAGTGTCCAGGGCAGATTAATGCTGGTAGGAGAACCACCAGGAGCTATTTCTGTGTGAAATGGAAGCGGGAATAGTGATAGAGTTCAGAACACAGTTTGAGTGCTGAACTCCAAATCCAGGTGGAAGATCTCCGTGTGGTTCCGCAGGTCCGTGTGTCCGTTGTAGCCTTTCCAAGGGAGGTCACTTCAGGTGAGGGCAGGACGGGTACTTGATGAGCAGGAATGTTTACTGGTGTCTGCAGTAAGTTAGCAGTGATCTACTCCCTGCTTTGGAGACCTTGGAGGCCTTTGGGCTTCTCTGCAGGTGCTGCCTCGTGTGTTTCACTGTGAGGGATTCCCTCGCTCAGGCTGGGATGCTTCAGAGGAAGRGGAAAAAAATGAGTTTTTTCCCTTTCTGTGTAGGAAATGTGCTTTTGAGACAGAAGTACGAGGTGCGTGTCTGATTATAATCATACCGACTGGACGAAAAGATACCTTTTTGATGCTGTTAAGCGTAAGAGACTTTTCCTTTGAGGTGCATATTTGGTGGCARTGGGGTGAAGGTGCGAGAGACAAAGGCCTGCTTAGGCCCTTAAATACGGGAGGGGCCTCCGGGCTGAGACGGGAGCATGGTGCTCTGGTGCACAAGAGCCTTTTAGGTTCCCTGTATGGCCAAAAAAGACACCAAGCTTAATTTTCGTTAGCACTGAGTTTTGTTTTTCTTTTGATAACTCTGGGCCTCCATAGYCAGTTTAAAACGGCTCTAGTGCAGGTATCGTAGCTCTTCTGCATTCTTAATAGTGCTGTTTTAAGAGTACTAGGGCTTTCAAATGAATTGTGAAGTATTCTGCGTACGTGACAGAAGAAAATGCCAATTTGTTTCTCTTTTGCATACGTGTGAACGCGAGCAGATGTGCTTGAGTTCCAGCACATTTTATTTGTGTACTCCGTAAGACAGTGATGGTAAAAGAAGCTGATGTTTCAGTGGCCTTGTGAAAATTATTAAGAGTGTGGGTCTTAAGGTGGCTTGTAAGACATCAAAAAGAAAAAACAGCATTTTCACACCAAGAAGTAGTTAGGTAGATGAATGGGAAAGAAAAGCATGAGGACCAGGGATTTGTTAATGAAAACAAAATACTTTCCATTATTGAGTTGGAACAGCCGAACTGAAAACGTAGTGGAGACAAAACATGTCTCCGTTTCCTGTTGCTTTCAGTCATAGCATGTACGTGTTTCTTTTTGGAGTTTCATTAAGGTTTTGATTCTGAAGGCTTTAAATGTCCTGGAGAGCAGCTGTCCCCTCAGCCTTAGCCATGAGAGCTTTCTAATGTCAGGTATGTGTGCGGGATGGGAGACGGAGGGAGGTCAGTTCTAGTCTCTGTGCTTCACCCGTGACCTGAGCGAGGGTAATTTGGTCCTTGTGGCCCATTCATTCCTTGTCTGAGACTGTCCATGAAGTGCCAAATGTGGCGGTGTGTGTGTTCCCTATTGCAAGCTCCTGGGCTCCTTGGAATGGGAAGCAGAAAGCAGATGCAATACAACTCTGCTTGTAGTGTTGTTCGATCTACACACTACAAATTATGTGTTTATTTTTTTCTTTATTTGTGAGTGACCTTCAGTGGTGTGACTGAGTTGGGAACTGCCTTATAAACAAAACCAAAAAACAGGTTGTGTCTCTGCCAGATGATATTGTGAATAGGGCAGCATGGGCCTCCATTTTTCTCCGTGTTACTCTTATATAGTTGCCTTTGGCACATATATAGCTGCTTAAATCCCTGTTACAGACAGCAAACACTTTCTTTGATATCCCTTTAGCTTAAAATGGCAGTCATGCCAGGTATTTTGATAGCTGTTTGACATTCCTCTTGTCCAGGTGGCATTTATTCCATCTCTTACCTGTTTTGTCTTCTCCGTGATTGCCATTTACGATATTTGTGTATTTGTAAGTCAGGGATGTATGAATTGCCCCTTTTACTGCTGTTTCATAGGCAATATATGCAAAAGAGTAATTAAGATTTAGCAGCATATGTGCAAACAACAAGTAGTTCAGGACAACCGTGATGTCCCGTGTGACTTTGGATGGCACCAGCGTTTCGGTGCTGTTTACTCCCCCCTATTCTCTCAGAGTGTTCTACTATGTTAGCTTCTGCTTTTCATAGTCCTGGTGCCCACTGGGCTGTATCAAACTATTCATTTTCACTTTTATTGCTGTGCCACTTYATATTTGTAGATATTTACCTCCTCTTAATTTAATCCTCTTTCAACTATCATGCATTTATTTAGGCTTCCTAAGGTGGCGTTTGCCTTGCATAACTTACAGATGTCTATCCCAAAGACGGAGAGATTAATCTCAACTGCCTTCATAGAAAATGGGAGAAAATAGGCCTGTCCAGAGGACAAGTTAAATTTTTCGAATGAATGAGAAGGTGCCTGTTTCTGTGCACCCCACTCGAAGTTTAAGTGACATCTACTGTATTGTTTTTGCCTGAGAATTTCTGGTTTTGTTCTTCCCTAAATTCCCTTCTAATTATTAATGGYACATTGGCTTTTTGTTGCTGAATACCGTTTCGTGCTGTGTGTCAGGTGCTGGGATTTTGGAGGGGCAGCTTGGACTGCACGSGTCATCTAAGACCCGCTTTAGGACCTTATTCTGTGCAGCACCCGTCTGGGTAGGCATGTGTGCCACCGGAGGAGGTGTTTTCCTGTTATTTTTGTAGGATCACATGTGAGCGTGTCCGCATTCGCTCGCTTCAGAGGTTTGTCCCAGGCACACCAGGCCGGCTGTCTGGCTTTGGGCGTTGCTCTGTTTTGCAGTTTGTGGCAGGCGACACATGGCTGAGCAAGATAAGGGTTTTATTCTTTGCAGAGACATGCTGGGGCTGCGCTGAATTTCAGCCGTTTGTAGGCTGGGGTTGACCACTGGAAGATCGTCAGAACACTGCTGTATCCTGTTATGACACTAAAGAAATATTTGAATGCAGTTATTTTTTTTTCTTGTAGTTAGCTATATTTTTCTTCCTGCAATCGTTCCAAACAGTGTAGAGTTAAGCACTTGCACAGCTTAGGAATCTGCTCTGTGTTTCGTTCTGACTATTAAAGCACCGTAAAAGTATAGATGCTCTTGCTTCCTTTGGAGTATCTCACTGAGGCACCGATTACTCTTTCTATGCAGTTGCTGTCAAATAGAATTTATTTATAACAGTGCTGTAGTTTCTGTTGCTATGATTGGAAAATAGGAGAGGTAGAATTTACACATAATTACCCGTGAGAGGCTTTTAATTGCTGATTTGCTCCTCACTTGGTACAAAAATAGAACCTAATTGTTTCTAATCTGCTTAGATCCACTTTCACTGTCTTTTGCTGTTTATAAGTCCCCATAACTCAGACTTCTCCTTTAACAGGGTGGTGGGGAAAAAGCTGCTACGTTTTTTGTCAGGGTACGAGTAAGAAGGTTTATAGGAAGTAATTACTCTTGCTGAAATGTTCAATATGATTACCTTGTGAATACTGCATGTATTTAGTCCATGAAATTTGTAAGTTCAAGTATTTTACTGGGCACGGACTGCGCTGGCAATCTCCTACTAGTGATCAAATGAGTAATTGCAGTACAGGCATCACGGCAAGTTTGCTTTTGCTTTCCATTGTTGTGCCATTGCTGGGTCCACAAATTAAATGTTGACGTAGTATGTGTATAAACTCACTCTGTAATTTACCTTTATTGAGGCTGTCAAAAGAGAGCACCATCTGCAGTGTTTACTCTTGGCTAGGAAAAGAACCAAATGCCACCAGTTCATGCTGCATAGTTTATACTAGAGACAGAAGTTGAGGTGAGCTTGATTTTCTAGTTTTGAATAGAGCTGTGGGCGTCATGATTATTTGGGTGGAGGCAGGAATGATATTTCATCTAGCAGCCCAATTTTATAATCCTGTCTGTGCACACAGCTCCTGTTACGGCATTTATTAGTTTTTCTAATGGTAGAATGGCTAGTTCAGGAATGGCGCAGGGTTGAGTAGACTTTTCACTTTCGGGCTTTTTAAAAATCTTGCCCGGATCCACAGGAATGAGGGTGTGATACATTTAACAGTCAAGAACTCTCCAGAGATAATTATGAAGAACTCAGGAGGTGCTACGATTTGCACRCACAGCGTAGGGAAATCGTCTGGTGATCATCTGCGCTCCTCAGATACCTTTCTGGTCAGAAAGATATCTGCAAAGGTTTGGGTAAATGTGAAAGTGCAAACTATGCTGCGAGGTGCAGGGAACTGAGTTTTCCAGTCTAAAATAGCCTATTCCACAGAGAGTCTGGTAGCATTAGTTGGCCTTTGCTATGGAAAGTCTTCCCAAAGAGGAACATTCTGGAGACTTAACTTCTCCGCTTACCCCTCTGGATGGTACCTCTGGGACACAAGGGAAGTATATTGGCAATGCTGCCTGAAAGATAGGCTTGGGCTCTTCCTCTCCGTGCTTTATCCTGTAAGATTACTAATTTAATACCTCTTCTTCCCTCTGAAAATTATCAGCAAGAGACTTATTAATGCAGCCCATTTGTATTACCCTTGAGCTTCTAGAGTTGGCCCTCCACGTTGCTAATGAAAATGCTTCTTGTAGAGGAGCTGCTGAGCATTGCTATGAGTGCACAGTTGTGCCTGAGCACTCTCCCTTCTTTCACCCTAGCCCTGATTCTGTCTGTCTTTTTGTGGGTGTGCAAGAAATGTCAATAGGGCCGAGAGAAAATAGACTTGGATGCTTGCTCTCTGCTAAGTGATCCTATGTTATAT